CAGAAGACAGTCATCTTCACCGCGATTATTTATTCCAGCTTCTTTGTTACTTAATAAAGATACAAAGTGTTGAAAGTTTGACATCTTTTTGCTTTAGGTCCTGTATCATCCTCCCTCGTAAATCCCATGGCTCCTTGTTAAGTTAACATAAGTTACAGGGTTTAGTTCACTGAAGTGCTGCGTTGGTAACGCGAATAGGGAGTATATTATGTTTTAATACAGTGTTTTCTCGTTGAAACTATCAGGTGCAAGAAGAAGTTTGTCTTTAGGAGTCTGCCTTTATAACCAGTCTATAGCACAAGTTCAGCTCATATTTCCTTTATTCATTTCATATATTATATCGAAACAAATTGTTATAAAATGGGTAAGATGTTTTCATTAAAATTCGTGCGTATAAGAACAATATACATCAAAGAACTTATATCTGTATTTTATGGAACCCTGCAGCCATATCCATGTTTTATGCTTTTGTGTGATGGATTTATCAATTTTGCTTAAAAATACAATAAAGGAACTTAAATACTCAGACTATATAATGTAAGTTTCGGATGTGAATTGTTATCAAAGTCTATCAACTGAGTGATAAAATAGCACATAAAAGCCATTTGACTTCTCAGATCATCCAGATTTTATCAAAATTACACGCATCACCAACCTGGAGGCCTATTGTAGATCCATCATACCCACTTGAATGCAAATCGGTAAATTAATTTGATATCTGTAACATGCAGATTGACGGACAGGCGTAATAAGAGTAACAGATGGTTTCCAAAATTTCTATAAGTGCGCGTACAATAAAAGAAGTTCAACCTGTTTAGAATACAAAATTTGTTTCCACCATCTCTTCCTTGGTCTGACAATTCATCTTCCTCTGTAACGGTTTTCCTGTTCATGTCTAAAAGCAAAGTATTGCTCCATTCGGAACGTATTTTATGTGAGAAATATTCGTTTCTGTTGTTGGATATTATTTTTAAGCTACAAATATAAAACTCTTAATACTCATAAGCTTTAAGCAAAATAAAATGACGGGCCACATATTCAATTAAGTTGGACTTATTTATTAAAGTTTTTGGCAACAGAGAGACGCCAATGGCAGGCAAATTCTTAATTGAAATAGTAAATACTAACTATAACCTGAACTAGGCTGTAGTGTGTTACGTATGATTTATTAGTGGTAACGTGATTACGTATTTGAGTGTCCGTTCTCTTTCATATATTTGGTGATATAAAGGTCCCAAACTCAAGACTCAAGACATTTTGTGCATAAGATGCTACATGGAATTTCTGTTAAGTACCCAACAATGTGCATATAAACCGCTGAAGTTCGGCTCATGGTAGATTTACCTCTGAACTGGAATTTTCCTATATAGAATATTAATTTCCATTAACATTGCGATACTTGCTACCGGATCTCATGTAATTTGAATTGTAAATAAGTTATATAAAGTGATTGGTTTATTAAGTGTTTAATAATTCAAATTGGCTTTGTAAAATCAATTAGTGGAATATGCAAAAAGCTTTGTGGCTTCCACAGAACCATCACTTACCTAATCAACCTCTTTGCCGCATTGCATGTTCATCAAAGAAACCCAGTTCGTCAAGCCTCGCTGCTCTTTGCTTAAAATTAACAGGAAAGGAAAATCGGTAATCACAAGATAGGAGATACCGAAATTGCTCTGACATATATTGTCTGCAGTTTCATTAACAGACGTAATTTTTGCTCTAAAATCTAATCTTTTATCTCTATACGTACATTTGTTCTCTGTTAGTTCAGCTTAATATTCCACACGTGAAACGTAATTTATCAGTACTTCAACCTCAATCATATCTGACTTAAACACGTTTACAACTCTCTTGATCAAGACTAGAAGCGAACGAATTACATTATTTGCATCCGTTTACAGCATCTGTAACATTGTATTATACTATCTACGTAGTTGCCTTCTTGCAATGCTGAAGTTTTCGGGAGAACATATGGAAATTCTTAATGCATAAAGCGACGTATATCTATCATTATTTTTTTGCTAGGTAGTCGTTAAGCATTAATGTATAAAGCAATCTACAGAATGTCCCATTAGTTTTGAACCGTAAGCAGCATTGAAGTTTCGACCCAGCTGTTACAAAAATATGCTTAATTTCTCCATCAACGTCTGCAGCTTCTCGCTTACTGCA